AATTGGGGTTAGGGGGAAAGGGAAAGGGTGGGAAACATTGGGGATATTCTTCTTGTGGGAAGGGGGGTGGGGAGGGTTAAATTTGGGACTCATGCAGTGAAATCATGTGTAAATTTTTTCATGTTAGATATGACAGAGGCTGCTTTATCTCGTGTTTTTGCAGTTCATTTTTTTTTCCCAGCAGTGCTCTCAATAATAGTGTTTAGATTTCTTTTGTAAATAACAATAGCTGTGAAATGTATGCATCTATAAACTGTACAATCTTAGAAACTGTTTCTTATATAAATAATTGCACTAGTTCATATGCATTACATTATAAAGTTTGAAATTTTGTATTTAGAAAGTTTATGAATTGCATCACCTTTTTCTTTTGCATTCTGAAATGAAGGAAACATATTTATCCTTTGTTTCTTAGATCTTTTTATATTTTAAATTTCAGTTCTGTTTCTAAATTTCATTTGAAAAGTCGATTTGAATCAAATTTGTGTGTTAGTTAAACTTTTAATTTTTATTTTTTGTTTACATTCTGATCGTTCCTTGTATTTCTTCTCTGTCCTTCACCCATGCTTGTATCACAGTGTTGTAATTTTATTTTAGCTTTTACATTTTCGAATAAAAAATTTTTAATTGAATTTCATTTGTGTGTATCCCAAAACCTAAAATTTCTTATTTTTTTAAACAGATTTATATAATTGTGTTTAAAAAAAAAACCTGTTAGTGATTGAAACTTTTAACTTCATTTTTTTAAATATTCAAACTACATAAACTATGTGTTGTAACATTTTTTTGGCAGAAGTTTTGTTTAACTTTTTAATTTCATATTTTAATACCTAAGGGCTAAATTGATATAATAAAACATATTTTTCCCCATCATTATCACTTTTTTCCCAGTCATGCTTATTTAAAACATCAGCGTCTTGTATTGTTAGAAATTTTGTAGTAATGAAAATAGTATTTTTCTTATGTTTGTTGAGATTTTCCAATTAATTAATTATTTTTATGGATAACTTTATGAAATTACAATGGTATACCAAAGTAACCAAAAGTGATACTATAAGTAATTGATATTTTAGTGAAAGAGTATCTTTTTCTGTGATTATTTTTAATATCATATTTCACACCTCTTCTTGTACTGCTCTTTTAATTTTCTTCTGAATTAAATAAAGCTTTTATTTGTGAATATTAAAAAATTGATATCATTTGAAAAAAATGTTATTCATATTTTTCTAGTTATTTTATTACTGTGTTGCTTAACAGACTGTTCTGAGCTCTCTGACTTTCGTTATTTTTCTTAGATCTGTCATTATTTATAAATTCACTTTTTGTTTCATAAAAGCTACTAAATATAATAAGTTCCTGTTTACCTCATTTTAATATTTAAATTTTTTTATGTCAGCAACAACTGATCAGCTGTCAAATTTTTAATCTTTATTAAATATTGATATCATTTAAGAACAGAATTTGTTTTATTTTCACCTTTATCTCCAGCACTAAATCAAAATTAGAATGCAAGACTTAAAGCAGTTGCTATTGTATAACTTATTTCTTTATGTTAATCAGTTGGCTTGTAACTTACTTAATGATTACAACTGTTTACTATATAGCCTATTCAAATCATTGAGCTTTAGTAGGTGAGTAAAAAAGTATTTGAACTATCCCAATTTTTGTAATAGTCTATGTTTTTGAAAAGGCAAGGGCTTTGTAAACAGAAAAAACTAATTTATTAAATAATTTAAAATATTAATAATTTTAAAATTTATTAACATCTTTAATTTAATATTCTGGTTTCTGTTGTCACAAATTATTTTTATAGGAATAACAATTCATTGATATCTTATTTATGTTTATATTCTAATAATAAAATTTATACATTATTTTACTTGAATTGCAAACATAAGGCTGCTTATTCTGATCATACAAGGCTGCTTGTAACTGATATAAGAAATAATAACTGGAATATGTTAAGATTGTTATGCTGCACATTTACAATGTATCGGAAAGTTTATTTTCATCATCAAAGGAGGTAGAATTTTTTTTATAGCTTTCAATCTGCTTGAAAATAAATTCAAAACAATATTTTTTGGGAGAGGATCACTTTTAGTTTTGTCACAATCTTTCTGTCTCTCATAAGTGTGTGTCTATATTATGTTGCAGCAAATACTTATATTTTGAAGATTTTTTATATTATTTACATACACTGAAATTCTCTAAAAAAATATTTTTATTATATTAATTAATGAAAAAAAATTTAGTGAACTAAACAAAGTAATTCCTATAATCATGTTTTGTAATTTAACATTTTATAATACATATTTAAAAAATGGTGGATGGGCCTTCTGAAAAAGATCAAGATTTATGTTCTATACTTTAATGTAAACAGATTGAAACTAATTACACAAACATTATGTAATTCATCATTAGAAAATATTTGTATGATTGTAAGTTACATTTTATTTCAAGATATATATATATATAAAGGAATAGGTAAAATTTGTTTAAAAATATGAATTTGATATATACATCTTGCATTTGATTGTTGGTTTGAGAGAAAAAGCAGGGACACAAAACTTTCAGTACTTACTTAAATTTTTCTGATTTTTAGAATTGTTATGCAGCACAAACAGTTTAGAAGGCTGCAGTGTAAATTTTTATTAAAAGTCAATTTTCAGCACAGAGACCAAAGAAAGTATTGATTATTAAAACAGTTGTGCATGACTATGAGCGTTTACTACTAAAATATATCTAAATCTCAGTTTTCTGATAGGAAATACCAAAATGTTTTGGGTGAAAATACATTCAAAACTTAAATTAGTAAGAAAAATTTTTCCAAGTTAAAAAAATAATAATTTCATCTTATTCAACAAGCTGTAATTATATAAAAAAACTGGCTGCATTTATTCTGCATATGTAATGTAAAATTATAGTAATAATTGCATCTTATTACTTAGTTCAATTAAGAAATTACAATTGCTTAAAAAAATTTGTTTCTATAATTTAAAGTAAATATACTTTGACAAGATTACAGTTTAAGTAATGAATCTTTTATAGTACTACAGTATTAAGGAAATTAACATTTGCATGCATTTTACAAATTTTGTATTGTAGTCATATTGTAAATTGCTGTGGCCTTCTAAACCATTTGTGCTATATCAGGTCTTTAAGTGGATAATTTTACCAAGGGCCTTTCAAAAACTGGTTTTGACTTTATGATGAAACTATAAAAAGCTGCAATGCATTTTTATTGTAAAACTGATTATAAATTGCAAGAAGTGGATGATGCATTTTTAGCAAACATGATAACACTAAAGCTGCTACAAAGATCAAAACGAAGTAGACTATAAATTTTGATGATTTTAAGTATGCTGAAATATATATATATGCCGTAAATTTCTGTTATAGTGGTTATATGCATTGTTCTTTTATTTATTTAAAATACTTTTATAGTTATTTCTTGCATGATCAGCGATCATAAGTAATTTATTACACGTAATAAATAATAAATGTCTTTATGCTAATAAAAAAATTCTGAAGACCCTATTCCAAAGGGTAGCACTGAATATGATCATAATAAGTGTAATTTAATTAATAAAAAAAAACTTTGGCTGTCTGGTTATTCAGTTTTAAGTAGAAAACGCTTGTATTCCCACAATTTTTTTTCAGGGGAGGGGGTAAGGCATTGATAAATTTTATATTATTAAAGTGAAATTGTTTGGCTAATATTTTTTAGCATGTTAAATTGTATTCCGAGAAAGTAACGGGTGGTTTTATGTTAACATACGCATTTTCATTCCTGGTTAACTTTCTTTAATATTCCATTTTCTATTATCAGTGATTCAGTCTCGATATATTGCATGTGAATGACAGTAGATTGTTAAGGAGGGGTTAAATCAGGTACACAATCTTTGTTTAATTTGAAAGGGCAAAGCGCATGAACAGCTACCTAAGGGAAGAAGCCAGGGAGGATTATTCTCCACATATAGCCAGCATTCAGGATTTTTATGTTTTTAAATCGGGAGCTTCCAGATTTATGAAATGCAGACTCATTTTTTTCCTTAAATTTAATTTTAGAACATGCATATCATTCAGATATTGTAAACTATATAAAAACTGTGTTCATAGACTGCGTAAAGCTGAGTGAGAGATTAAGTTTCTTGTACGAGCACACTGAATTTGCTCAGACAGAAAATTTATCTCATGTAATTTTCTGTCTGAGCAAATTCAGCCACAGCAGGTATTTTTGCTGTTTCTATTGCACAGAACTTAAGATAAAAGTGTGAATTTTTTTGTCGAAAGAAAATGAAAAAACTGAAATGCCCAATATTAAGAAAACTGATTAAATCTGTTTTAAACTTTTGTGGAAAGTTCATTTATTTATGTGCTGATATTATAACAGAATGTAAAACATCCTTGAACACTGATATTTGAGATGCCATGCAGATTGTGAAATATTATTTATTCTCATCATGCTACAAAATAGTGCAGCTTTTGAATAAGAAAATCCGGTACTATTCTGATAACAGGACAGGATTCAGAAATGTATGAATGCATGCACGTGTGTATGTATATATGCGCATACATGTGTATATATATATATACACACACATTCGTGCTGACATATATATATACATGCATACATGAACACATACATTCATGCATGCTTACATACAAAAATGCATTTCTGAATCCGAACCTGATAACAGAACAGTACTGAAATTCCTTCTAGTGAAGGGCCTATTAGGGATAATATTTGAATAACCGAACAGCTTACCACAGTTCTTACATTCTGTGAACCATTCTATTTATCTCTAACACCTGTTAATATGCATATTTGAAGTTCTAATCACATACATGCGCAGGATTAAATGAAAAACTACTGTCTGTTTGAAAATGTCTTAATGATCATAATAAACTTTCAACTGTTAGCAAAGAAAAATATAAACTCGGCTTTCGGAGAAACTGAAGCCCCCCTTTTCCTTCCAAATGCAGCTAAACCTAGCAAGTTTTTTTTTTTTTTTTTTTTTTTTTTTTTTTTTTTTTTTTTTTTAATGTTAAGAGACCAAAATACTAGGCAACTTTGTGATATATAGTTAAATGAAGCATAAATTAATTTTTAATCAGCTTCAGAATGTATAAGTATATATTTTACATTAATATTCAAAATTATTTGGTAGTTTTATTCCAGGTAGGTGTTAAGCTTTTTATTATTATTATTTTTTTTTTTTTTTTTTTAAATAGTTTCAGTTACATCCCAAGAACTTTTTGAGAAAAGCTAGCGTGTATCTGAATTACAAATAAGGAAAACCATGCAAAAACTTAGGAGCATGTCTTTGTGGTAGAAGGGCCATATGCAGAGTGTTAAAATTATTTCTTTTTCTCCCTTACAATAGCTCAAAAAAAAAGTAATTATAATCTTACTCATACAAGAATATTACACTTTATTCAGAAAGAAAATATTAAGGTTAGATATCATGGAACCTCATCTTAAGTATTAAAAGAATTTTTCAAACTTTTCCAGGTAAGGAGTACATTTAAAAGGAGTTCTGAAATAATTGCTTTTTTATTAAAAGAAGAGAAAACATATCGTATATAGAGGGTCAGAGAAGAAATTTTTGAGTGACAGATATCCCCTTATTCGTTAAAATGTTCCAAAACATGTTTGTTAGATTTTTGTGTGTCATAAAACCCAAATAATCCCTATTTTTTTTTTCTTTCTGTTGTAAGTTATAAAAATTAAATCATTCTGTTTGTTCAAAATAGTTCTTTTATAAAGAAAATCAAAATCATATTTTTTTATTATTATTATTTTCTATTTTATTTTTATTTGAAATATTCTACATTTTTCATCATCAATTATTTTGCTTTGATTTTCTTAGCAAAATTACATTAAAAATTAGATAAGGTTTGTAAGAAAAGGGCTATGTATATTGAAAGCAACTTGCAAGTTTTCATTTATGTGTAAAATATAGCCTGTGCAATCCTTGAAAACTGGCATATGTTTTTGTAGAAATTTCAGTTGTGAAAAAGGAATCTTAGAAAAATATATCAGCAAATAAAAAAGGGGGGTTGTAAGGATATTGAAAAATATTTGAATTCATAGAGAAATCATAAATGACTAAGCATAATAGGGATAAAGTTTTGAAATGTTTTTCAGTTATATTATTAATTTCAAAATATATATTTTTTGCATAATAAGTAGTAAAACTTTGAATTTAAAAAAATTAAACTTGTGCTATAAATTATTTTTTATAATAAACTCAGTGGCCCAAATTTATTCAAAAATATTTTTTTTTTAAATAATTCGGTTTTTATTTCATGTTCATTTTTAGCTGATGGTTGTTTCTAGTTTCTTTTCAATTTGCAAGTTATAAAGTTATTTTAAACAGAAATTTGTCAATATATTCTCCATTAAATTTAGGCCTTTTTTTCTTTTATTTTTATCAGTAATTATTGGATGATCCTTTTGCTTTCTTTTTTGTAGTCGGTTGCTGCATTTGGAGTTTTTTTAATGGAATTTTGACAGTTGATTACAATTTTGCTTTCCCTGGTAGACCTCTGATAAGTCACTTGCTCATTTAAACATAGTCATGTATGATCTTTGAACTTTATTAAAGCAGCCTGTGTTTTGAAGAATATTTATTACTAAATTGAAACAATAAGAGTATAAAATGGTATAATTTGATTTTCTAATCTTAATGAAATTACCTTTTTATTTTAAATATAAATTAATAAATTGACTTAGTTGTTGTAATCTGTACAAAAATGATGGTTAAGCATCATATAAATTTATTGTTTTATATATAAAAGCAAGTTAGTAAGTATTAAGTTAGATTTTGTAGTAGAGAAAGAATTTTTGGTGTAAAACAAATGCCCTGTAGTGATCATGCAGTTCTCAAAATTTAGTATCCTTAGTTTAATGACTGAGATATTGATAAAATATTCAATTCAACGTCATTTGTGATACTTAATAATTAAATTTTAACTATTGCATTTACTTTTGTCATAAAGTAGAACTGTTAGTTGTGAAAATTAATGTAAGTTTGAGAATATTTAAACTACAGTGAAATACTTTCTTACAGTTATAATTTTTGCTCATATTAAAAGCAACACATGCACACGTATATATATATATATAGATGTAATTCAAATTTTCTAAAATTTAAAAGGGGATTTGTTCAGATATGCAAGATGATGAAACGTTCTTATCTTGAATTATTGATGGTTGTATGGAGAGAATTCAATTTCCCTTCTCTCTATTTATCAGCAATAGTTCTCTTGTTTTATTCTTTTATTTTATTAGTATTTACAATATATTTATTCACAAATTCCTATTAATCATTACCACAATAGTGTACATTTGCTTTCTAAATTTCACTTAGAATTTCCACGGAGATAATTTTCATTTTTTATTACGCATTACAGATTTAAAATATTTTATATAAATTGCCATGTGGTTAAATATTTCTTTTAATATTTTTGTCACATTGAGCTTTTAAACTGTAACATAAACTTAATGTATTATATATGATAAATAAAATTACTTAATTCTTAAGTAATTTTATTTATCATTATAATACAATAAGTTTATGTTAATACAATATTTGCATTAAAATTATCAGGAAATTTTTCTTGTTTGCAATGTATCCCGCATAATCTTAATTTTTCTCATGAAGATGGAATTTACTGAAATAGTAAACAGTCTTGCCGTGTTTAATATATTCATAAGATAAAAAATATGTAAATCGAAATTGTAATATAAATTAGCAGTAATCCTTAATCTCTTTCTCTATTCTAATAATCGTACTAATTTTTCTGAACTGCTTCATTTCTAGATCATTCAATCCATGTTATATAACTGCTATATTGGATATTGTGTACTTCGCTTATACCTCTGTTGCTACCTGGATGTTATTTCACTGTGTTCTCTTCCTATCACAATAGTATCAAAAATGTAAATATTTTAATTATTAGAATGCCAAGTGAATTGTGGCCACAAATGTGAATCTAAATAAAAATAAATATTTAATCTTACTCGGCTATCAATTTTCCTAGTCATAACAGATTCAACATTTTAGCATTCTGCGCTATCAGAATACTTCCTCTTCAATATGGAACACATTCTAAGCTATCTATGTATGGGCTATGCCATCAACATTTGCTACGTCTTTTTATTTTAAACATGGTAAAACTGTTTATATATATAATATCACAATTAAAAAATTATTTTTCTCAAGTTTTTTATGTGGAATATGTTGCTGAAAATTAATCAGTGTAGACAAAAAGTAAGAAATTTAGAACCAATCCCACAGACCCAAAAGAAGTGAAAATCAGTGCTATTAGATGTCAAAATTCCCTAAAAGTGTGTAAAGTTAACCACAAGTTGGAAGAATTTAAGAAATGCATAATACAAAAACCCACAAAAAAATAAATATATAGGAAGAGGAGTGCAATCAAATCTGATATAATGTTATTAAGAGGAGGTACATTATTTCACTTCTTTTGGGTCTTTGTGGAACTGGTTCTAAATTTATTACTTTTCTCTCTCTCTCTCTCTCTATGTATATATATATAGAGAGAGAGAAAGAGAGATAATGCATAAAATAAACCACTTGAGAAATATTTTAATTGAAAATAAAGAGTTTTTCATTTCATTTTTTCTTTTATGCTTTTAAATGTACAAATATTAAATGGTAGCAGTGTTAATTTTGAATGAATAATTGACATTTTGATAGTTAAGGGTAAATGCTACAATTATCTGTAATTTTAATTTGTTAAAGAAAAGTGTGATAGCAGTTTCATATTTAATGTAATAAAATGGTGATAAGTTTATGTTGTTCTTTCAAAATACTAAATAAAGAACATATAAAAAATGTTTTATGTAGTGATAGCTTTATTTTATTAAATATATAATCATTGTTAGAAGCATTTTCAACAAAGAAATTGTTTGTATTTCATTGAAATGTTGTTATTGACCTTTGTTATAGACATGTGATGCAGTTTTGAACAGTAATTTTTCTCCCCTTATTGATTTATTTCTTCAAATCAAAAGCTTCTGTTAGTGCCTCTCATAGAGGCAAATCAAACTTAGTTTTATTAGTGATTAAAATTTGTACAGCAGCATGTAATGATTGTAATTGCTGTTTTTCTTTCCTGTCACATATGAACGATGTTGTAAAGCATAAAAAAATTTCCAAAGATTTTGCATGCTGCAGTTTAATTTATTGTGCCTCATGAATAAGATAATAATTTATAATTTTGTCTTCTAGTTTTTTATTGTAAATTTTTTATTTGTTCAGAAAAAAATTTGATTATTTACACATTGATTTCTTTACGGATATGTATAAATATATATTTACAGTGTAAATGGAATACTATGTAATATGAACAGTATTTTAGTTAACTTGAGAGATCAAGCCAGAGCTATCCTGAGAGAAGGCTAGAGTGAAAAATATTCCTTTTTATTTATTGCTGTTTTATTCAGTTCAGCATCAAATTTCTTATCTGCTTTTTATTGCTTTACAATCCTACGTATCATTACAATCTTCACTTTGATTTTTTTTTTAAACATAGGGGATGAATGAGCAAGTTTTATGAGACATGCAAAACTGCAGTCTAATAAGCTAAATGAAGACTTTTTAAGTATATAGTACTGGACAGCAAACTGTGCATTTTGGCTTGTGTACCCAACTGTTTGTTTTAAAAGAAAAAAAATTAGAAAATTTTTTGATAAGTTTATGGTAATTTTACAAAATTTAAGAGTCTTAAGATTCAAATCAATAAAAAATTATTTTAGGGTGACATGGAGAAAGACACTGTGATGAAATAATTTCGTAATGGATCTCTTAAATTTGTTGGAAAATTTTGTTCTAGTGTCAAAGTAACATTGTAAAAATTGAATAAGTATAAAAATTTGGTGATAATATATCTGTCTGTGCATTCATCTATTAACAATTCTTTAACCAATTACTTGAATTACAGTCTATGGATATAAATTTTTAGTTTTTCTGCTGAAATATCTTATTAGAATATAGAGTATTCCATAAAGATCTATACACGTACATACTGAATAATCATAACATATGATTTATTTCTTTAATGTAAAAGAATCACCAGAAAGATTTTTATAAATCTCCCTTTTAAATATAACCATCATACCAGACAGTCTTTCTTGGAGTCTGTGTATCCTTTGCACATCTGGCCAAGTACCATTTGCAAAATTGCAGTATCCAATCCAAATCATTTTCAGTGGCAGCATTTATTATTAATTGTAAAGTATCTGTTTTAATAACAGTGCTTCAAAACACAATGAATGCTTGATTTTAAAATTCCTGTCTCACGATATCTTGCCATACAGATTTTCTTGAAGTCTAGCAGTACTTTTGCATTAAATTTCATGACTTTGTAGGGTTTGTTGATGTCTGTGGCTTTCATTGGGATCTCTAGTGAATATTGTAAACATTTCCATATGATTCCTGTGGTTCAAGTGATGGCAAGTCGTGCAGGTGGATGTGATAGAAGTAAAAGTGTCCTAAAATGTATTTAGTATATACATTAATTACATTTTAAAACTTCCAGTAGTACTTTAGGATATATTTTCAACATGAAAGAAAGAAATATTTAGTTATCAGCTATTAAAATATGCATATATTTTTAGAGGACATAATGTATATCTCTTGATGTATTTGTGAATTTCATTGATATACAGTTTTTTTTTTTTTGTGTGTGTGTGTGTGTGCTTTCAGTATGGCTCTGCCTTGAATCTAGATAGGCATTAAATGATTTTAATTTTTTTAAATTATTTCAAACAATAGTAGAGTATCCCAAAAAGATATATACATACACACTGAAGCACCATAAATGCAATGTTTATGATAATTTACCCAATGATGTGTAAAAAAGACTGTTTAGTCATCAGTTTGGAGGCTTACAATTCCAGTATAATTCCTTAACTAAAATACTGTTTTGCTTAAAAAGCCGTTTCAGCAATAAATAGAGCGCAGATCTTAATTATTTACATCTATGTCAGTTTAGTATTTCTGGTTAGCACTTTAATTTTACAAGAATGCATATCTGTAACAAATATATACTTATAACCAGAATCTTAAGTGAACTAACTTGTTGTTACTGAGAATTCTATTGGAGTTACCATTTTTGCTTGCTACATATAAAGCTCTTATTTGTTTTAAATTGTTATATTTAAAGCTAAATAAGATTGGGAAGCTAAGCTTGGTATATTGAAAGCTAAATATACCAATAAATAAGAGAATTTTTAGAAGAAATGCTCATCAGATTTTTCTATTTAATTATTCATACATGATATTGTAGAAAGTGTACTAAAAGCTATTTGTGGGGTTTTTCCCCAAAAAAATTTATTCACTTAGTACTAATTTTATTTAGTACAGGCATGTGCGATAACCCAGCCAACTGTAACTTTATATATGTGAATGACACAAAATATAGTAAAGTTTTCACAGAACTGTGTCATCCATATTAAAAATTTTCCAGCTTCACACATTGCCATTAATTCTAGCATTATTTTTTTTAACACTGTCATTTGTCATGCTAGTTAGTGTTGCTCTAACAGACTGCTAGATATTTAACAATCTTGTTTAGCCTTTATTTTGTAATCAAGATCTCTCTATTAGTTAATTGCACTTCTGAGCTAATGTGCAGTAAAAATCTTCACTTCCAGTGTTCTGACATATGCATCTTTGAAGTTAAATTACTTAGCTCTTTGAAAATATCTTTTATTTATTTTTCTTTTTAATGCTGTTTTCATAAGAATCTACAGAAGGATAGAAAAAATTTTATACTTTCAATTGTTAACTGTTTTTAAACTTAACTTTCAGAGCATGGCATCACTTGTTTAGTAAAAGAAAGGCAATATTTTTTGTACATATATAAATATATATATAATTGTGTTATTTTTACTTTGAAGTGTTTGCTGTTTTTGTAAAAGCTTATAATTTCATCCTGCTCTTCATTAAATGTGAAATTTTTAAATTAAAAATCTCATTTTGGTGTTGGTTGTCATTTTATGTAAGAATGTTTATTTGCATGCTTATAAATACATATGTATGTATTTTATATATATATGTACCTATGTGTGTGTATATATATATATATATGTATACATATATGTTAGTAATTGCTATAAATAAAGCACTAATTATTTTGATTTGTAATATTTCATTTAAGGAATACAAAGTTCAACATTGTAATGTTTCACAAGCATTTGAATCTGTACACATCACTTAAAAATTCAGTTACAGAACTATACTCCTTGTCTTCTAACTAGTAATATAAAAATAAATTCAGTTCCAGCAGAAAGCTATTTTACCACTCTCACATTAATGTTAACTTTAAAGTCCTTTTTGTCTTCTAACTAGTGATTTAAAAATAAATTCAGTAACCAACAGAAAGCTATTTTACCGTGCTCACATTAATGTTAACTATCTAACTCATATTACAATGTATAAACATTGGTTCTGGTAAAGTAAACTGTCACTTTGATTAAATGCAGGTAAAAAAAATCTGCAAGAAGAGCTTAAATGAGCATTGAGAATAATGCTCCTTCCTTGTCTTTGCATGATATTCTGGTTTTGATAACTTTTAAATTGATTTACATATCAAGAATTTTTCTGAAGAATGCTTTCACAAATTTTCAGTAGATTACTTTGAATAGTTTCAATCTGTACATGAAGTATAATTGTAAAATTGCATCATAAGCATTTGAAAATATTTATCAGCATTTTTAATAAAATCAAGTATTACCACTCCATATGTAAAATTTCTGGCAAAGTAAACTGTCACTCGCAAATGAAAAATACAGTAGTATACTAAATTGCTTTCCTACAGATGTACCAACTTGTTCAGTAGAAAGACTGTAAAATTTGAAATTTAAGTTCCAAAAAAATCCTTTCATTTTAGTTTTGTGTTTATAATGTGACGTTATATAAAGGCTACTGAAAAATGCGTTATTACTAACAAAAAGAAATCATGAAAAATTAGTAAACTTAGGTATATTGATTTTCGCCAAAATTTATAAATGTGCATAAATTTCACTAAAGATTCCTTCACTTTGAAACAGAAGTACGTAACTACATGTCTAACGAAGATACAAAATGTTGATTTCAGTTCCAAATTCTAAATCTACACTACATAAAACAAAAGGGGAAAAAAAATCATTTAGTCATGTAACTTACTACTCTAAGTTAGAGGAACTTCATTTTTTTGCACTACTTCATATGCAATCTATTCGTGCATACATTTACTTCGTCATAAATAAAAATTGTTTCTCTTTGAATTTGGGGGGAAAGGAGTCTTAAAAATTGGTGTAGCCCGCTCGTGTAAATCAAAACGATGTGCAAACACGGAATGACTTAAGTTCGTTTTAAATCAAATTTGTGTCAAAGGTTTGTGTTAAAACAAAGTGAGATGTATTCTTCAATATGTGTAGATCTGTAATACATTAAACTTAGATTATTATTAACATGTTGTTACCCTATATTTTTTTGCAGAGAAGAGTCAGCTGAGAAAGAGCACAACAATATGTTGTACCTACTGAGGTGCAACTGTGCAAGAAGAACTAGTTCAGTCTGTTGGGAATGCAATGCATCCATTGTCACTGGATCATCAAAAAATGCACCATACCCTTCCAAAAGAGGTCTCTTTTTGCTAGAAGTGAAAGCTGGGAAAATAAAAAAGAGAAGTTTATTACAATTGAGACTTCTCTTGAAATGTTTCAAGATAATTATAAACATATACTTAAAAATTTAAAGCTTCAGGGGGAAAATAAAGGAAGAATGCAATACATGTTTAGTCAAAACTTTTCTCTAAATTAAAACTTCTGCTTTCTGAAGAATGAAACAGTTCAATTCATTTGGATATAAAACTGGTGAGACAGGAGAGTCCATCATGAACACCGGACAGGCCTGCCATAATCAAAATAAACCATGACTTCAGTGTGACTAATTTTCAAATCTTTTGTTTCAACATTGCTGAAGTTTTTATTGCTCTCGGAATCTATACGGTGAATAATTCCTTTGTCACTCGAAAGTTGAAAATTTAGTTCTCTCTTTTCTACTATTCCATAATGCCAGCCTGTTATCCTTTGAAACATGTTTCAAAATTAACTGACAGCATTAGCATTGCTTTCATTTCTAAAACACGTATAAAATCTGTTCTCTACCATAGTACAAAACAGGAGAGCCGTTAAATCACCAGTTACTGATAAGAAAAGCCAACCAGATCAATCATGGATAAAATTCCCAATTGTTACTGATTTTCACTTTACTCTTTCTAATATTACTACATTTTCCAATTATATTTCTTTAAACTGATTATTGACTCGATCAATAGAGACCAAGGTTGATAAAGGCCCGGTTAACTGAGATTTCGTTGTACTTTTACAGGGTTCGTAGCGGTCCTTACAACTGCTTATAAGCCCTTATATTTGAAGATAAAAAATAAAAGCCCTTATAGGTGCTTACTTTTTTTGAAGCACTTATTTTTTTGTTTTTAGTGCTTATTTTTTGGGTGCTACTTTGGTAGACGGTTGCACGGATTTTGGCGATTTTCCTTTGGCGAGTAATACAACTTATGGTAAACCCATTGCTGGATAAGTTATTTATGGTAACCGATACTTTGTTGTCATTTTATTTAAAAAATAATGCGTTTTATTGGGCATAAATTCCGTGTTTAAAATATTATTTATGGCTTTTAAATATTAAAAATCAATTTTAATTTTGCATTTTTATTTGAAATAAAAATTTTATTGTTTATCATATTTTATGAAATTTTATGTTGTGGATGATTAGTATCAATGACGTCACCTTACTTTAAAAGTAATTCGTTTTAATATGTATAAATTTAATCTAATGTTTTAAAACATTATTTATGGCTGTTAAATATTAAAATACAGTTTAATTTTTCATTTTTTTAAAAAATGATTTTATTATGTATGAATTTTTAAATAATTTTAATTCTAGCCGTGATGTAATAAGCTCTCTGACTAGTTATAGAATATTTGTGCATTGACGAGCTGTAATCAGCTCCCTGATTGGTTACTGACAATTTGTGCATTTCCGCGCCGTTTTAAAATTTAATTCATATCTTCGAATTCCTTCAAAGATGTTATCTAAATTATGATTCTGGTTTTTTTTGTGGTGCTTACCAATAAACAACAGGTTAAATAATTATATTCTATATAACCAGGGCCGGCGGAAACGGGCCCGCAAGGCCTTCTTTGCAGGCAGGCGCCGACCAGCAAGCGACACAGAGGTTTTTTTTTTTAAATGCAAAAGAATGTGCACTTATCGGGGAAGAAAAATGTTCCTTGAATGCTTACACAGGACAGGGACCATGGGAGTTCGCGCCCCCTCCCAACACCGTGTTGCCCCTCCCCACCTCATCCATCAATGCCTTGTCACCCATCCGTCAATCGTCAGGAATAGTATCATACAAAGAAGTTCGAGTTGGGAATTCACGCTGTGAGCAAGTTTAAATCTAGGTAATACCGTACTTACACCAACTACATACGCAGACGTTGTTCATTACTCACAATGACCCTTCTGCGCATCTAGTACTAGATAAGTACATGTCACGCATCTAGTACATGTCGTCAGCAAGAAAGTAATTTTTAAATTCTTTGTCAGCATGGCTAAATGAATTTTCAATGGTTACAAAAACCACTTTTACATGTTGTTCTTCGGCCTTGTAAGTTTTAATACAATCATCCACATTTTTACACATTGTTAAGTTTTTTTGCTTTACATTTCTGCTCCACAATTCCAATTTTCTACAGAAAACATTAACTTCATTATTCGCATTTAATATATGTGTATTTGCTCCTTGGAGTTAAAGATTCAAGTTATTTAATTTATCGAATATGTCGACCAAGTAGCTGAATTTCATCACAAATAAACTATCGCGAAAATTCTCGGCTTCCGGTCTGTTTTCCTCTTGTAGGAAAATAGCGATTTCATCTCTTAATTCATAAGCACGTTGCAAAAATTTCCCAAGTGATAACTATCTTGCCTCACAATAAAATAGTAACGCTGAATGTGCTGCGCCCATGTCTTTACAAAGTGCGGAAAAGATTCTTGATTTCAGAGGTCTCATTTTTATATAATTTATTACGATTACAACGGTAGTTAACATAATATTCAGACCAGGACTCATTTTTATTTTGAAGCTAGAGCTTCCCTGTGGATCATGCAATGTGTCCAGTTGCTCTGGCGATTTTTGCTTTACAAGTGCTTGTACACTTTGGAATCTTCCTAACATTGAACGAGCACCATCGGTGAATATTCCGACGCTATTTTTCCATTCTATATTTGCTTCGTTCATAAAATCATTTAAGATAGCAAATAATGCGTGTGCTGTTGCTTTGAGGTCTATTGGTTTGCAGAAAAGTAGTTCATCTACTATTGACATATCATCACAAAATCGAACATAGGCAATGAAATAAGCGTCTTTATTACTATCTGTTGCCTCATCAAAATGTATTGAAAATAATTTGTTACGCAACTTCGAGAAAAGCTGACACTGTACATCTTCAGCTATATCAGTAATTCAACGGGCAACAGTATCATTTGAAAGAGGTATGGACTGCAATTGGTTTGCAAAATTATCTCCAACATCTCAATTGCTGCTGGCAAAATACGCTTTTCAGCAATGGTGTGAGGCTTTTTACATCTGGCTATTTTACATGAAACTTTGTAAGAAGCAATTAATGCTTTTTTATTCAGAGAAAGTTTTTTTTATAGAAATGTTTTTTTTCTTTTCATATGATTTTAATTTTAATTTGAAAAATTATCTGGGTTTGTTGACATACTCACTATGAAGTGTTTCCAAATGTCTTTGAAGTTTAGTAGGTTTCATGCTGTCTGCTGCCAATATTTTTGAGCAAATGATACATAATGGTATTTGTTCTTCATTTACTTTAGTACTGGTAAATCCAAAATTTAAGTATTCTTGATTTTATTTTCGGAACCACGTTCGTCTGTGTACTTGTTGATGCTTGACTATCGTCTAATGCTCGCTTACGCCCGATTAAAAATCTATCCATAATTCTGCATAAATCTGCCTCCGTGAATTTTTAACACGGTGAATTGCAATTAACACGAAAACATATAACATAAACATTCACGGTAGAATAGATAGCGACAGAAGGATAGACTCGAATGAGACTGGCTGGAATTAAAACTGGCGCTATCGAATTTCCTCCTTCTCCCTATAGAGAAACATTTTGTGACATCTGTGCATGCTTGAGACGGCATCTTGGCTCCAAAAACGGTAATCCTTACGACATGCACCGCGCCATCTAGCCAGGCAGCGATATGTAGACATACAGACATTCACGCAGATACTCCAGAATGTTCGAGACAAGTTGGAACTTCTCGCGAAACCGCGAGTATTTCTGAGATGATGGTATTGGTATTGGTATTATTCAATTATGGCAAAGCACACGAGGACTATCTGCCTAAAGGGAGGGATGCCTTAGTGGAGGACTTTCTAGGGGTGTTGGTCTATTTAATTATGGCAAAGCACGCTAGGGCTATCTGCCTGAGGGGAGGGATGCCTTTCGTGGAGGACTTTCTAAGGGAAACTGGCTCTTATACACGTTACACATGGGGAAAACCACGAAAACGCCCATGCAGCCAGCCCGTCCGCGGGATTCGAACCTCGGACCGAACTACCAGTGTTCAGCGTCTTTACCGCTCGGCCGCTGGTGGGCCTCTGAGATGATGGACAGAACAGCAATAAAAGTGCAACAGATTCTTGTTTTGTCAATGCTGAGGATCGACGTTGCCAAATATGAATAAATTTACGTATTCTTGGTAATTTTAAAGTTTAAAATTAAAGTCGTAGTTTAATTAAGTAGTAAGTAATTAGTAATTAAGATTTAGCGTCAAAAATACTCAAAATACATTAGAATTGCATACACTTTATAATATGTGGGGGGCGCGATGAAAATTGGGCCGCGTATACTGAAAGGTTGAGAAACACTGGGTTGAGGTAAGACTTAGCTAGTGTTTTTGGAGAGAGAGGTTTGGTGGTCATTGTACACAGAGCCCTTGGCAAGCATTAAGTTTAACCCATCCCACACGGTCAAACTTTTCCTTATCGTTTGTTAGAAAGATGCTAATACTTCCCAACCGCTCGAAAAAGTTATCATAAAATTTATTTTTTTCCTTAGCTTCATTTTTTTTATACTTTTCATCTTTATTCTATGTTATGGCTTATTTTTAAAAGAAAGATTAGATATTTAAAATTTAGAACTGAATTTTTAAATTTCAGTGTGAAATTTTGATAACACGGAAACAAAGAAGAAATCATCCGGTACACAGAATCGTAAACGCAAAGCCGAGAAAGATGCTGCTCTTCAGAAGCAGGCAGACGCAATGTCTCATTTCATAAAGAAGATGAAGACTTCTTCGGGCGTAAATGATGCTCACATTGAATCAGCATCAGAATCAATTACAAAAGAACAGACATCATCCAGCCAAATAAAATCAGCTACATTGTATGAAGTTATTGAAAGGACTGATGAAACTCCAAAGGAAGAGAAAGATGATCCAAGCATGGAATTAAATAAATCGGAAGTTAGAGATTATCCAGGTAATTCGATGGAAGAGACTGGCATAAATGAAAATTCCTTTCTTTATATTGATTTTGATGATCCTG